TATAGAACCTCAGAGACCATGCAATGCACATGCTGTGGAGGACCTGGGGAATGTCCAAGCCCGTGGCATGGAGCAGACTCTTTGTTAAATTTTCCTGCTTTTATAGGTACCTGTTTTCTTCATCTCATTCTTATGAATCTCTCTGAGAGGCAAACACCCCTTGTACACAACTGAAAGTAGACTGCATTCTGCACAACTCAAGGGCCTTTGGAGGATGGAAGCATCAGAGTCATTACCCTCATCTGAAGCTCAGTCTGCTGTGTTGTCATCAAGAGGTGCAGCTGCATGCAGGACTCTGTGTCTCTGATTAAGAATGAGGGCCTCATGCCTGTCCTCGTGGTCTGAGGACTTCCAATCCTTCTGCTGCACCATTGAACAGTCCTGGGGAGGCAGGAGCAGAGGTCCAGGTGCCTGAGCATGGCCTGTTGGTCAGCTCGGACACGTGGTCCACACATCACCCCACACTCTCCCTCCTGGGGGGAGAGCCCTCCTGATCCCTCCTGCTGGCTCTGCTGGGTCTGCAGGGTGAGCGTGCTGCCCACAGCCACCCTCTGGGTGAGGACAGACAAGTGCTCCTGTGTCAGCCATGGCCATGTGCCTCTTTTCTCAGCCACTCCCTCTCCTGACCTTGCTCACAAAATGTTCTTTAAAAATTTTAAATATTGTTTTTCTGAATGGAAGTCAAGAGTTTTAAATATCTCAACATTTAGGATTAAAGAAAGAAGCTGCTATTTGATGGACTACTCATAAATATTTTGCCAGTAAACACAGTTTAATTTAGTAACAATTTTAAGCAAATTTCCATAGTAAATATGTATTTGATAGTTGCAAATATCCTAAAATTTCACAACAAACAAAAGTGCACAATTTAATAATTAGAAATCAATGAGAAAATTTTTTTTTAAAAAAAGAAGAATTTTTAAAAATATGAGCACATTAGTTGACATGTAAATGATTTTCTTTACAATCAGGTAGTTATGATGACTTAGCAAAAGAAATTGAAGATAAGATAAATGTGGTGAGATGTTTTTAAAACTTTAGCTTCTCTGAGTTGCATATTCATTATATATAAATTCAAGCTGAGATAAACCTGCTGTGGTTCTTGTCAATTAGTTGCTCAGCTACTTTGTCGCCAGGGTGGAAGGTAGTGGGGGGCTTGTGGGGGAGGGGTAGAAATGTGGAATCAACACACAGACTCCAGGAGCTGGTGAGAAAACTGGCTGGAGATCTACCTCAGGTTGTCCTCCAGTAGCTCAGTTTATTTTTGGAATGCATACAATTGTTATAGGGTTTGAATGGGGCATGCCCATCAATCATAAACAAGCAAGATACTATCCCTAAGCCAATCATCTTATGCCTAATGTAACCACACTAGGAGGATGTTCTAAATATTGCTATCATCAGGAAGGGTCTTTGTCCCTAGGGGAGGGGGTTTCTATGTTTAGAGTTCCATGTTGAAGCTCCTAGTGATAGACCCAACCTGATTTTCTCTTAAAATTTGGATCCATCTCACCACAAAGCCAGGAAAAGCTAATTTTGGCTTCATTATAAATTTCTGAAAATTTTGAACCTGCTTGTAATGACTGCCCATGCCTTGAACTCACCCATGACTGGCTCTCTGACCAGATAGCAGCCCTCTCTGAAACTTTAGTGATGCCTCCTAAAACTTGTCCTTACCAGGCCAGATAACGACCCTCTCTGAGGCTCTAATGACCTTCATAAATTCTGATGTCAGGGCCAGCAAAAATGTTATGCTCATCAAAATTTTGTTATCTGTAACTCCCCTTTGTGTAACTTTCTGGGCTATAAAGCTATGCTACAAGAAAGCTGCAGGGCTGTCTTGTTCCTGTGGTTTTGGGTGGGAGAGGCAGCCCGGCTTGTTGAAATAATAAGCTTGCTTTAATTTGATTTTAATTGGAGTCTGTGGTCTTTTCTTGTGTCCTGGTCTAACACTAGCTATCAGTTTCCTGGCCTGGCAGCTTGGCAACACTAAACACAAAGCAAAGGATGTGGTTTCACTGACGGCTCACTAGAGCACAGCATCCCATCCTGCAGGCCTTCCTATCAGGCCTGAACGAGTTCAGATTCTTCAAGCACTCCTAGCTGCTCATAGCTGCTAGCTGCTAGCTGCTAGCTGTAAACGGAAAGTTATTCCAACATAAACCAGTTGGTTACTCACATGGTCAAATAATGGATTTGACAAATTTTGCCTCAGACTAGGCTACAGATTAGTTCACAGCCATACATGGAATAATAATCCATTTCATTTTATGCCATGTTGATCTCATCAGTAGTTTAGTGGATTCAATTACCCCAATTTGTCCTATGCATTATTAAATATAAACCCCAGGCATACAATGCTTCTCTATCTCGAAACCTAAAGCCATGAAAATAATAAAAAATGCCTTCTTCAGCTCTCTTGAATAGCAGAATGGGCAATTATATATTATATTTTTCTGTCTTTCACATGTAATGATATCTCATCATCAACATCACTAACAATGTCAGCATCTCTCTCCATCAGACAACAGCTGTTTTATTCCAGCCGAATTTTTATAGTTACACTGAATCCTAGGTGTAGTGAGGCAGAGGACAGCACCCTGACACAGGGGTGCCAGATGCCAGGTGCCATGGTGGATCCCAGGCTGTACACACTCAACTTGGTGTCCCTCCTGGGTGTGGGGAGCTCACTAGCTGCTCTGCCCAGTCACTGTGAAGCACAGCCTGGCTGTGGGCCACAGGTGCCCTGTGAGCTGCAGACCCTCAGTACAGGGACCTCTCTGCACGTGGCCCTCACCACCCACCCTCACCCTCACCCTCCCTGCACCTTTCCATATCCAGGGGCCTCTGTCCTCTCTCTTTCCAGGACCTGCTGCAGTAGCCTCCCCACATGAGGGATGGTGTGGTGATGGTCTCCCTCTTCCTGACCCATTTCAGCTAGGTCCATGTTCTCCTGGCCATGCCAGGAGGGACAGGATGCCATTCTTCTGTACCAAATCGCAATCTTCCTGTATTAGAATGCCTATTTTCTACAAAAGCCTTAAGGGCCAATATGTGATCAAGTGTAAGGCTCCAACAGCCCTGGGAGAGGAGTAAGGACACATCTTGTGGGCTGCACATCCCACCTGCTGTGCTCACTGAACAGAGGTCCTGTCCAGCATCACTCCCTGCTACTCTAGGCCACTCCTGAGGCTGAGGGTTCACAAGGAGAGAGCTGTGCTGCATCAGGTTCTGGAGACCAGGGTGCAAATACCCAGGTGCTGCTCCTGACCAGGGTTCCTGATGCTGATGGTAGGAGGCAGGAGGCAGGAGGCAGGAGGCAGACCGGGCTGGAACCCTGAGTGGTGCTGGGGTCCCACTGGGGCTCAGGGTGCCAGGAAGGCTCTACCAGCCCTGGGGAGTCTCCCATTAAAGTGACATTGATCCACCCCTGGGGCACCACCAGTAAACCCCATCATCTATTAGATTCCTAATTACCTGCATTAATAATGTCATCAAATTTCACAAGATACACAGTTCAACTGTGGCCTCCATGAAACACATCAATAATTAAAGGGAACTAAAAGTTCCTGGCAATGGGATGCTTGTCTGTTGGGTCTGAGAGAGCAGGAGATCACAGCTCTGTGACCTTAGTGTCCAGCTGTGCTGCTGCTACTCCCACAGTGACCTCTTTGACATGCCAGGGAATCTCCACCATGATGAAGGATACGCAGGGCTGCCTCCACCAGGTGACCTTCCTTCTCCTGTTATTGCCTGAGCTGAAGGACTCACTGCACATCTGTGGTCAAATAGAGCCACCCTGGAGATGACCCACCAGTGACAGGGACTCACTTGATTAATCCTCCTCAAGCCCAGGACCTTGAGAGGTGAACCTGTCCTCTCCTGGTTGACCCTGTGTGACCCACATGGCTTCTCCTGCACTAGTTCTGCCCCCAGAACCACAGGCCAAGGAGCCCAATATCTGATCACACTTGAGATACTGCCCAGGTGATCAGAGACCAAGGCATCTGGCTGACCCTGAAGGACAGCAGCATTGACTCTGGGAAGAGTAGCCTGGGTTCCACTTGCTCTGCCACAGTCTGACGTCCCCAGAGGCAGAGAGGCCCAGATACCAGGGAGGGCAGGACAGGAGACCCACAGGTGGTCTGGGGAGGGCGGTACAGTGTCCATGCCCTTTGTTCCAGGATGAAGGAGAAGCCCAAATCCAGGGGCACTGCAGGGATGCTCCTGGCATCTGGGACTCTGTAGCTGCTGCAGACAGTGGGGACCTGCTTCCTGGGGACACAGCACATGAGTCTGCAGAGCAGAGGGGAGAGGTGGAAAAGCTGAGCCCTCCACATCTGAAAAGGATTTTCCTCATCTGCATCATCACACACTTAGTCTGAGAGGACAGGGGTCTAGGGACCTGTGCTCCACCCTGCACACACTGCTGCCCTGCTGGGGAGGATGGCACCACTGTGCTCCCACTCTTATGTATCAGTACAGCTGCTTCAAGTCAGCCAAAGGTGAAGAGGGGACTGAGAAGCCAGAGGAAGACACAGTGAGCTGACAGTGGCCCAGAATTCTGAAGATGGACTGTCATCCACCAGGACCTTCATGGTCCTTAGATGGACACTGGGTGCAGCAAAACCATATCCTATTTTTCATCCAAGAAGGGGCTCTAGAGACCCCACTATCCCTGTCCTGTACTGTCCATAAGATGCTTCATGGAGCAGAGAATTTGAGGAGAGAGGCACATGCTTAGACCTTGGGTTATTCCTGTCACATCTTCCTGGACAGCTTGAACAATACATTTAATATTGTGAGTTAATCTTTCATGAATAAAATGTCACCAACCATCTCTAACATGTTCAAGTTTGCTCTGAGCACAGATATCTCTAAGGCCTCCACCCAGAGCTGCTATATAGCAGGAGGACATGCAAATAGGGCCTCCCTCTGCTCATGAAAACCAGCCCACCTGACCCTGCAGCTCTGCACAGGAGCCCAGCCCTGGACTCCCAGCTCAGCCCACTCAGTGATCAGGACTGAACACAGCTGCTCACCATGGAGAGTGTGCTCAGCTGGGTTTTCCTGGTGGCTGTTTTCAAAGGTAATGAATGGAGAACCAGAGACCCTGAGTGTGTGAGTGGACAGGAGTGAGAGGAAGAGTGGAGGATTGCCAGTGTCCTGACCAGGCTGCCTCTGTGTTTGCAGGTGTCCAGTGTGAGGTGCAGCTGGTGGAGTCTGGGGGAGGCCTGGTGCAGCCTGGGGGTTCCCTGCGACTCTCCTGTGCAGCCTCTGGATTCACCTTTAGTAGTTATAATATGTACTGGGTCCGCCAGGCTCCAGGGAAAGGGCTGGAGTGGATCTCATACATTAGTTATAACAGTGGTACTATAAAGTATGCCAACTCTGTGAAGGGCCGACTCACCACCTCCAGGGACAATGCCAAGAACACCCTGTACCTGCAAATGAGCAGTCTGAGAGCAGAGGACACGGCCACCTATTACTGTACTACAGACACAGTGAGGGAACCTCAGTGTGAGCCCAGACACAAACCTCATGCAGGGTGCCCAGGGCCAGCAGGGGGCGCTCAGCACACAGGGAGCTCAGGTCATGCAGGAGCAGGAGGAGAGCAGGGGCAAGGGCTGGATTCCTGCATCTGGGGGCCTCTCATGATCCAGTTTCACCAGGGATCTCTGTGGTCCTGTGGTCTGTATCCGTGTTGTCTCTGAAGACACAAATTATTTTTTCATGCTGTATTTTCCTGTTCTCATTCCTGCCTGGTACTTACACATAATACTGTGGTTCATTTTGACATAATCCACAATCACACAGTGTAATTTTCTCCACTTTGTCTGCAGTATTTCCCCTTGCCCTTCCCTCTCCCTCCATGTGTTCCTTCCTCTATTAGCTGATCTTCCTTCTATTTGTTTACACATTTTCTTTTCATTAATGACAGGTATTTACATGGAATTTGCTCTGGTGTGTTTATATCTGCAAATGGGAATTTTGGTCAATTTCTATCCATCTGTTTTTTCCCTCTCTCCTCCTTCACCCTCCATTCCCTTCCCCTACTCCCCTGCTCTCCATTCTACTTAAATGTTACTCTGTCCCCTTAGTTTGCTGTTCCTTCCACATCTGAGAGAAAATCTCAGCCCTTGATTTTCTGAGCCTGACTTATTTCACTTCCTATGATGTTCTCTGCATGGTCTCTCTCTTGTCCAATGAAGAGGTCCACAGAACAGGTAGAGGAGAGTGTGACTGCGGAGTTGCTAATCACCACCCCCAGAGACCAAGGAGAAATCAGGTCTGATTCTATTGCACAGTTACCATGTACATATACTCAGGCAGCAGCTAAGCAGAGTACAAGCAGCCACCAATACAATTTCTGGTCAACTGTCCCTGCAGTGTCCAATTGAGGAGTGGGCCATGGAGCAAGTGCAGGGACTGCAACACTCAGCCTCACACCCAGGGCTGTGTCTACAGGGTAAGCATTTTGCCACTCACATTACTACCATGGGGGAGGGGTTTGCCACTCAGATGTCCTTAACTTATGCCATGTATGCAGTACTCTATGCACTTGTCCCCACAATTCTCCAATTCCATCAATTTACCAGAAACACTCTCAGTTAATTCTTCTTTATGGTGAGTAAAACCCCACTCTGTACATGTCCCACATTTTCTTTACCCATCCATCTGGTGACAGGCATCTAGGCTGGGTCCATCTCTTGGGTGCTGTGAGTTTCTGCTATAAACACTTGTGTGGCTGTGTCACTACAGAATGCTTAGTTTACATCCTTAGGACTGTAACAAAACGTGCAATACCTGGTCATGTGGTGGTGTCCTCGTCAGCTTTTTTGCTGCTGTGACTGAAAGGTCTGACCAGAACCACTTAGAGGAGGAAAGGTTGATTTGAGGACTCACAGTGTCAGAGGTCTCAGTGCATGGACAGCAGGCTCCATTCCTCAGATCTCAAGGTGAGGGTGAACATCATGATAGAAGACTGTGGAGGAGGGGAGCTGCTCACATGATGATCAGGAGGCAGAGAGAGACCCTCACCAGATACAAATATATACCCCAAAGCTAACCCCCGTGCCCCACCTCCTCCAGCCTCACCTGCCCACCTTCAGTCACCTCCCAGTTAATCCCTTACAGGGGATTAATTCACTGATGGGTTAAGTTCTCTTACCCAGTCATTTCCACTCTAACCCTTGTTGCATTCATACATGGGCTTTTGGGGGGACACCTCACATCCAAACTATAACACTCCACCCTTGGCCCCCAGAAGCTCATGACCACCTCACAATTCCAAATACATTTAGTCCATTTCCAAGATTCCCCATAGTCCCAATAGTTCAAGCCCAGCCCCAAAGTTCAGGTCCAAAGTCTCCTCTGAGCCTCAAGGCAAACCAGCATTGTCAGCTCTAAACATCAAAGCCATTTACAAGTATCCACTATATAAAGGTGTTATAGTTAAAGCATAGTACTTGGGTTTCATACACTGAATTCCAGACCACTCACATATAATCAAATCAAGACTTTATTGAAGCACACCAGTGGCAACTGACCAGAACATAAAGCTGTTCCCCTGATCAGCCCCAAACAATTGTAACGGCACCCCTTATAAGCCTGAAAACCACAAAAGGGATGTTCGGGGGTCTAGCCAATGCAAGCAAGCCAGGTTACAGAAGCAGGAGAGTGCAGGCAGGCAGAGGGATGCTTAGCCAATCACAGTTAGCCCAGTCACCACAGTTACAGAAACAGAGCCCCATTACCCTAGTTACAGATCCCATGTCCCATTAGGTAGTTCCATGTTCTTAAAGCTTTCTGTAGCAAAAGGAAAAATAACATCTTACCCCAGTCATGACCCTTGTACTTGGCATGGTTGATTTACAAAATGGAGTCACAAAACAAAATGGAGTCACGTTTGCTTTTACTAACACAAAGATACAGAGTAAACATCTCCATTCAGAAAAATAGGGACACAGAAGGAAGGGCAGGGATCAAAGCAAGACTGAAATTTAGCTGAGCAGCACGTCCTGGAGCCCCACATCCAGGATTTGGGCACAAGGCATGGTGACGTTCTCTCCAAAGTGCTGCTGAAAGCCCAGTCCTTGTCCCAGATGCCAATCCAATAAGAGGACACGGATATGAGAAAAAGGAGAAAGAGGGTTTATTGCTTTTCAGAAAAAAAAAGGGCACTCTTATCCCAAAGGTGAGATTCTCCCTGAAAGGACACCTGTAGAGTCACACAAAGTCCAAGGACCTTGCCACCCACAGGAATGTCACACAGGATATTTGTTGTCAGTAACAGGAGGCATAGCAACAAGGCTGTCCCTCCAGGAGAGCAGCAATTAGAGAGCAGCTTACAGCCCTCAAGAGGGATCTCCTGAGCTATTTAGGAGTTTAAGCTGAGTAGGGGGATCTCAGGGTACTTAGGAGTTTAAGGTAGGTGGGGTTGGTCTTGGGGTACTTAGGAGTTTAAGCTGGGTGCAGTGATCTCAGGTTACTTAGGAGTTTAAGCTGAGGTGGGGTGATCTCAGGGTACTTAGGAGTTTAAGCTGGGGTGGGGTTGATCTTAGGGTACTTAGGAGTTTAAACTTAGGTGGGGTGATCTCAGGGTACTTAGGAGTTTAAGCCTGGTGGTGTTGATCTTAGGGTACTTAGGTGTGTAAGCTGGGGTGGGGTTGGTCTTAGGGTACTTAGGAGCTGAAGCTGGGTGGGGGTGATTGCTTTTTTTAGCAGACCCATGTTCTTAGGGAGACTGTGAGGAGCCACTTTGAATCATTTGTGTTTTTCTTCCTGGAGCAGAGAGGCTTTGACCAGTCACTGTATCTCATAGTCACCTGGAGATTGCCCAGGTCCAAGAAGTTTGAGGGCATGTCTTCAGACACAGGCGTGTCACCCCATGGATTGAGCTACATTCACCTGTTCCTTTGTGACATTACCCCTGTGCCCTGTTGGGGCTGGAATGTTACATGGAAACTCCCTTTGTGTGTCCCCTTCTCTGTCTTTGGGTGTGGCCCTCCTAGATGTCAGTCAACCTGCTGACAGCAGACATCAGGAAGCTGCACTCAATCCCCTGTCACCTGACCCCTTGCCTCATATGAATGCCTTGTCCTCAATAAAAGGTTCAGCACATTCTCTCTCTCTCTCTCTCTCTCTCTCTCTCTCTCTCCTTCAGGTCATAGGAGCCATCACAGGACACCCCAGAAAAGGTATCTCTGTCTCTTGTGAGATTATTTCTTGCAGCCCAGTTCACCTGGAGTGACCCTGAGTGTTTTAGCTGTGGGGAACATGACAGGAAAGTTAAGCAGCGTTGCCCCAGAGTGGAAACTTTGGAACTGTTAGATAAACAGACACGTAGACCAATGGAACAGAATAGAAGGCACAGAGACAAACCCACACAGTACAGTTATCTCCTACTAGACAAGGTGACACATAAGTTCACTGGAGAAAAGATAACCTCTTCAACAAATGGTGCTGGGAAAGTGGAAAGCCACCTGTAACAAAATAAAATTAAACCCTATCTCACGTGCATGAATCCCAAAGTGGATCAAAGACTTAGGCACAGAGATCCTGCACCTACTGGAAGAAAAATAGGCCCACATCTTCACCATGTTGGCCTGGGATCTGGCTTCCTCAACAAGACCTCCAAAGCACAAGAAGTAAAGTCAAGAATCAATGAATGGGATGGATTTAAACTAAAAAGCTTCATTTCAGCAAAAGAAACAATCAATAATGGGAAGAGAGAGCCTCCAGATTGGGAGAAAATGTGACCACATGCAACTCAGAGACAGCATTAAAATCTAGAATATATAAATAATTCAAAAACCTTAACACCAAAATACAAAAATACAATCAATGAATGGGTTATGGAAATCTACAGCCTCTTTACAGTAGAAGAAATATATAATTGATCAACCATGATAAGAGAAAATGTTCAATATCTCTAGCAATTAGAGAAATGCGAATCAAAACTACTCTAAGATGTCATCTCACCCAGTCAGAATGGAAATCACCAAGCACACAGGCAACAATAAGTGTTGGCAAGGATGTGGGGGAAAGGGTCACCTGGTGCTTCCATCCCTAGTCTTTTTAGGAATC